TAGTCTTTTAAAATGATAAACTTGGATTAGCAAACACAATGTGCCATTGGAACACAGGACTGATGGTTGCTGATAATGGACCTCTGTATGCCTATGTAGATATTCCATAACAAATCAGCCGTTTCCAGCTACAATAGCCATTTGCAACATTAACAATGTCTACACTGTATTTCTGATCAATTTGATGTTATATTAATGGAGAGAAAAAAATGCTTTTCTTTCGAATACAAGGAAATGTCTAAGTGACCCCAAACTTTTGAACAGTAGTGTATATACAGTTGAAGTCGGAAGTTTACATACAGTGGGGGAAAAAAGTATTTAGTCAGCCACAAATTGTGCAAGTTCTCCCACTTAAAAAGATGAGAGAGGCCTGTAATTTTCATCATAGGTACACGTCAACTATGACAGACAAATTGAGATTTTTTTTTCCAGAAAATCACATTGTAGGATTTTTTATGAATTTATTTGCAAATTATGGTGGAAAATAAGTATTTGGTCACCTACAAACAAGCAAGATTTGTGGCTCTCACAGACCTGTAACTTCTTCTTTAAGAGGCTCCTCTGTCCTCCACTCGTTACCTGTATTAATGGCACCTGTTTGAACTTGTTATCAATATAAAAGTCACCTGTCCACAACCTCAAACAGTCACACTCCAAACTCCACTATGGCCAAGACCAAAGAGCTGTCAAAGGACACCAGAAACAAAATTGTAGACCTGCACCAGGCTGGGAAGACTGAATCTACAATAGGTAAGCAGCTTGGTTTGAAGAAATCAACTGTGAGAGCAATTATTAGGAAATGGAAGACATACAAGACCACTGATAATCTCCCTCGATCTGGGGCTCCACGCAAGATCTCACCCCGTGGGGTCAAAATAATCACAAGAACGGTGAGCAAAAAATCCCAGAACCACACGGGGGGACCTAGTGAATGACCTGCAGAGAGCTGGGACCAAAGTAACAAAGCCTTCCATCAGTAACACACTACGCCGCCAGGGACTCAAATCCTGCAGTGCCAGACGTGTCCCCCTGCTTAAGCCAGTACATGTCCAGGCCCGTCTGAAGTTTGCTAGAGTGCATTTGGATGATCCAGAAGAGGATTGGGAGAATGTCATATGGTCAGATGAAACCAAAATATAACTTTTTGGTAAAAACTCAACTCGTCGTGTTTGGAGGACAAAGAATGCTGAGTTGCATCCAAAGAACACCATACCTACTGTGAAGCATGGGGGTGGAAACATCATGCTTTTGGGCTGTTTTTCTGCAAAGGGACCAGGACGACTGATCCGTGTAAAGGAAAGAATGAATGGGGCCATGTATCATGAGATTTTGAGTGAAAACCTCCTTCCATCAGCAAGGGCATTGAAGATGAAACGTGGCTGGGTCTTTCAGCATGACAATGATCCCAAACACACCGCCCGGGCAATGAAGGAGTGGCTTCGTAAGAAGCATTTCAAGGTCCTGGAGTGGCCTAGCCAGTCTCCAGATCTCAACCCCATAGAAAATCTTTGGAGGGAGTTGAAAGTCCGTGTTGCCCAGCGACAGCCCCAAAACATCACTGCTCTAGAGGAGATCTGCATGGAGGAATGGGCCAAAATACCAGCAACAGTGTGTGAAAACCTTGTGAAGACTTACAGAAAACGTTTGACCTGTGTCATTGCCAACAAAGGGTATATGACAAAGTATTGAGAAACTTTGTTATTGACCAAATACTTATTTTCCACCATAATTTGCAAATAAATTCATTAAAAATCCTACAATGTGATTTTCTGGATTTTTTTTCCTCATTTTGTCTGTCATAGTTGACGTGTACCTATGATGAAAATTACAGGCCTCTCTCATCTTTTTAAGTGGGAGAACTTGCACAATTGGTGGCTGACTAAATACTTTTTTTCCCCACTGTACATCTTAGCCAAATACATTCAAACTCAGTTTTTCACAATTCCTGACATTTAATCCTAGTAAAAATTCCCTGTCTTAGGTCAGTTAGAACCACCACTTTATTTTAAGAATGTGAAATGTCAGATTAATAGCAGAGATCATTATTTATTTCAGCTTTTATTTATTTCATCACATTCCCAGTGGGTCAGAAGTTTACATACTCTCAATTAGTATTTGGTAGCATTGCCTTTAAATTGTTTAACTTGGGTCAAACATTTTGGGTAGACTTCCACAAGTTTCCCACAATAAGTTGGGTGAATTTTGGCCCATTCCTCCTGACAGAGCTGGTGTAACTGAGTCAGGTTTGTAGGCCTCCTTGCTCGCACACGCTTTTTCAGTTCTGCCCACAAATGTTCTATAGGATTGAGGTCAGGGCTTTGTGATGCCCACTCCAATACCTTGACTTTGTTGTCCTTAAGCCATTTTGCCACAACTTTGGAAGTATGCTTGGGGTCATTTCCATTTGGAAGACCCATTTGCGACCAAGCTTTAACTTCCTGACTGATGTCTTGAGATGTTGCTTCAATACATCCACATAATTTTCCTTCCTCATGATGCCATCTATTTTGTGAAGTGCACCAGTCCCTCCTGCAGCAAAGCACCCCCACAGCATGATGCTGCCACCCCCGTGCTTCACGGTTGGGATGGTGTTCTTCGGCTTGCAAGAGCCCCCTTTTTCCTCCAAACATAATGATGGTCATTATGGCCAAACAGTTCTATTTTTGTTTCATCAGACTAGAGGACATTTCTCCAAAAAGTATGATCTTTGTCCCCATGTGCAGTTGCAAACCATAGTCTGTCTTTTTATGGCGGTTTTGGAGCAGTGGCTTCTTCCTTGCTGAGCGGTCTTTCAGGTTATGTCGATATAGGACTTGTTTTACTGTGGATATAGATACTTTTGTACCTGTTTCCTCCAGCTTCTTCACAAGGTCCTTTGCTGTTGTTCTGGGATTGATTTGCACTTTTCGCACCAAAGTACGTTCATCTCTAGGAGACAGAACGCGTCTCCTTCCTGAGCGGTATGACAGCTGCGTGGTCCCATGGTGTTTGTACTTGCGTACTATTGTTTGTACAGATGAACGTGGTACCTTCAGGCTCCCAAGGATGAACCAGACTTGTGGAGGTCTACAATTTTTTTTCTGAGGTCTTGGCTGACTTCTTTTGATTTTCCCATGATGTCAAGCAAAGAGGCACTGAGTTTGAAGGTAGGCCTTGAAATACATCAACAGGTACACCTCCAATTGACTCAAATGATGTCAATTAGCCTATCAGAAGCTTCTAAAGCCATGACATACTTTTCTGGAATTTTCCAAGCTGTTTAAAGGCACAGTCAATTTAGTGTATGTAAACTTCTGACCCACTGGAATTGTGATACAGTGAATTATAAGTGAAATAATCTGTCTGTAAACAATTGTTGGAAAAACGACTTGTGTCATGTACAAAGTAGATGTCCTATCCGACTTGCCAAAACTATAGTTTGTTAACAAGAAATTTGTGGAGTGGTTGAAAAACAAGTTTTAATGACTCCAACCTAAGTGTATGTAAACTTCCGACTTCAACTGTACATATATATTGTAATTTTTCTTGGCATTTGAGGGGACACCAAATAGCTGGAATGATCAATTTGAATAAGCAAGCTATCCAAGGTTTGAAACAAATTGCAATCTGCATGGAGACCATATATAAGTGATTTTACAGTTACATCGATTAAATGTAATTTGACTATACTGCAGATACCTTTTAAGGACCAACTCTACTACACTGTACACAACATAATCCACATGGAAGTCCCTAATACCCATTTCCTCTACCTAATCTTTGGCAGATATAGGTAACACTAGTCCACTCTGTGAAGTTAGGGGCCAAACTCAGGTACAATGGTCACCATTTAAAGTGCAGTGTTTGACACATCGATTCTATTAAATCATCATTGTTTATGAGACTATATGTGTGGACTTTTACACAATTCACAATTCTCAATCTAGGGAATATTTATCCTCTGGAAGATGTATATCATTGTCTAACATTTTGTTATCTATATTTCCATCGATACAGACATGTGTGGATATATACTGTATATAAAACCATTTGTTGACCTATACCTCAGAGTCTATCAGCAGCTGTCAGATTCATTATATTTTCCATCACAGCACAGCCCTCTTACCCAGGGTGCTGCCCTGAATCAATCTTTCATGCTGCAACAGCAAAATCATTTTTGAAGAAAGCTGGCTAACTTGTGACGCAGTCCCAAAATAAAACATATTGAAGACCTCCTTGAGAATGTAGGACACTCCATATAGTGTATAATGTGTTTTACCTGGCTGGCAGTCTAAGTACTAAGGCCCTGGTTCAATATGACACATACAGTATCCTCCTACAAACATTTTAACTTGGCCAATGCTCAGTGCATTCATTGTGGGCTTTTAGAGCCTGCTGCTACTTACAGATAGTTCTGTTAATACATTTCACAATTATTTATAGTTTGATGACTCTATCTAAACATCTTTAAGATGTAAAAATGTCAAACCTAAAATGTAAATAGTTTTCCCGCAAAGTCTGTATTATTTGCTTTTCTCTTCTGTTCCTCCACTGTTGATTGGAGATGTTTGAGTCTGGGCTGGGCACCGAAAAGCTAACTGCAAAGTATGCAATTCTTTCTAAACGTTGTTTGATATTTTTTCTACATCTTGGTGTTCCGAAGGAATCATCAACCACCAGTGAATTTGTTTGTATAACGGAGCTATACAGTATGCTTTCAAAGAGCAACCACACTACACTCTTAGAATTAGTGGTGACTCGAGGAACCCTGGAGATCCCCAAGGAACCCTGGAGATCCCCAAGGAACCCTGGAGATCCCCAAGGAACCATTGCCTTTTTGAACTGGAAAGGTTCCCCCTATGTGGCATACATACAAAATGTGCCACTAAAACAGTCTATCCCTCTCCCAGTTCTCCACCAGTGTGAGGCGGCAGGTTGAGCAGCATGTTAGGTAGCAGCCTGGTCTCACGGTTGGGCCAGATGAAGTGTCAGTTCAGGCATGCTCTGGGGCTAAGTCAGTCTCACTCCTCACTCTCCTCCTCATCTCCCTTAGAGGTTTTGCTCGTGCGCTGGAAACAGTGGACAATGGAGGCTAGGAAAAAGCTGGTCATGATTGCCACTACAGACACAGAGATGCCAGAGAAGATGATGATGAGTAAGTCTGTTAAGGTAAGGGTGATCTGACACTCCCGGAAGCTGTCCTGTGAGAGCTGGCTCAGGGACACCCGTCTGCCGTCCATGGGTAGTGAACACTCTATGCCCTCCACTCCTACAAGGGGACAAAGAAGGGGGATATGTTTAGGACCAGACAGAAAACCCAGCCATAGAGCCCCCATTATCATTATCATTATGTAAAACAAACTGTCCCTCTGGCAGAAATTATTATATTAACCTTCACAAATAACAGAAACTCTCAAGATTTTGACCTCTAGATGCAATAACTTAGAAATAGCTTTTGTTATTCCAAGACACGTTTTATTACGTCTTCTTTATTAAATGGAATGTCTGGATTCTTTTCAAATTCTATGAATTATGATCCTTGAGGGTAAATAGAAGTCAATTAACCAGACAAATCACTTGGAATAACCTCTGGTTTTTATTTACTGCATTGCTGGAACAGCCGGAGGCAAGGAGCACCTTCACTGAACTCATCTCAAGATGTAAGCATTATAAATCGGTCTGTCATGCTCGCCAGTGTCCCAGTCACTTCAACATATCGTTTACCACTCCTGCAGAATCTCTATGAAAACATCAATGACAACCATAGCCGCGGGAAGTAGGGGTGCTGGGGGTGCTGCACCCCCTGATAAATTGAAATACTTTTGCCAAAATTAGGCTGTAAAAAATAATTACTCCTGTCTGAACAGACATGAATAAAATTATTCAAAATACTACATCAGAGAGCGTAATTTAGCTACAGTTGATCAATAGTTTCTAAGAAATAGTTGTGGATTACATTTTGTCAGAAGCACTTACAGTCAGGAAGGCTGCAATTTGGGCAGCATGCGTGCCAAATATAGAACAGCTTGTTGCGTTGTGGTCACATATATAATCCATAGAAGGTTTTTGGAACCTCTAACCCTGGCACTTTGACACTTAAACTCATGGGTACACTAGCAATGGCAGCCAGTCCTGACTTGAATGGGAACTGCAATCTATGGATTATATTTCTATGGTTGGTTGCGGATGTCAGGTTGCCTCTCACAAATATAGGCCTACTGTTTGGAAAGCAAATGCCTACTGCTGAAAAGAGAAGACTAATCTGTCTGTAGAAGCTAAAAATAGAGAAATTCTGAGCAAACAGCACTGTTTTTCAAAGTAGCTTATCTCACGCCCATCAGCCATCATGGGTGAGTAGCCTATGCTTCATCTTCATCATTGGGTGAGTCAATGTCACTGGAAAGTTTATTTTGTAGCCAGGGTTTCCGTTAGGTGCTGGACAAGAAAAAAATGAATTGATCAGACATTTGAGAAATGTACCGGTCATCCATGACTTATAAGGGTGTCAACCCACGTCGCCAGCACCATCAATAAACGAGAGCTATTGGCCAAATGAGCCACATTTAATGTCCTTAAAAACAGCCTATAACAAATGTAGCATATGCAAAACTTTATAGCCTATTGTTTAATTGGTTTTTAATTTCCTGAAACAATAATTGTCCACTTTACAGTTCAGCTGTCAGAGATTTGAGCACTAAATGTATCAGGGCATTGCATGCATAGGTATTAGATGTCCGCTGTATAATATTAATATAAAAAAAGATAAAGTACCAGTCAAAAGTTTGGACACACCTACTCATTCCAGGGTTTGTCTTTATTATTACTATTTTCTACTTTGTAGAATAATAGTGAAGACATCAAAACTATGAAATAACACATATGGAATCATGTAGTAACCAAAAAAGTGTTAAACATATATTTGAGAATCATCAAAGTAGCCACATTTTGCCTTGATGACAGCTTTGCACACATTCGCTCAACCAGCTTCATGAGGTAGTCCCTGGAATGCATTTCAATTAACAGATGTGCTTCTTAAAAGTTAATTTGTGGAATTTAATGCGTTTGAGCCAATCAGTTGTGTTGTGACAATGTAGGGGTGGTATACAGAAGATAGCCCTATTTGGTAAAAAACCAAGTCCATATTATGGCAAGAACAGCTCAAATAAGCAAAGAGAAATGACAGTCCATCATTACTTTAAGACAGGAAGGTCAGTCAATACGGAACATTTCAAGAACTTTGAAAGTTTCTTCAAGTGCAGTTGCAAAAACCATCAAGCGCTATGATGAAACTGGCTCTCATGAGAACCGCCACAGGAAAGGAAGACAAAGAGTTACCTCTGCTGCAGAGGATACGTTCATTAGAGTTAATTGCACCTCAGATTGCAGCCCAAATACAGTGCCTTGCAAAAGTATTCATCCCCCTTGGCGTTTTTCCTATTTTGTTGCATTACAACCTGTAATTTAAATGGATTTTTATTTGGATTTCATGTAATGGACATACACAAAAAGTGTGTATGTCCATTTCATTTGAAGTGAAATGAAAAAAATAACTTATTTCAAAAATTTCTAAAAAATAAATAACGGAAAAGTGGTGCGTGCACATGTATTCACCCCCTTTGCTATGAAGCCCCTAAATAAGATCTGGTGACACCAATTACCTTCAGAAGTCACAAAATGAGTTAAATAAAGTCCACCTTTGTGCAATTTAAGTGTCAGATGATCTGTCACACGATCTCAGTATATATACACCTGTTCTGAAAGGCCCCATAGTCTGCAACACTACTAAGCAAGGGGCACCACAAAGCAAGCGGCACCATGAATACCAAGGAGCTCTCCAAACAGGTCAGGGACAAAGTTGTGGAGAAGTACAGATCAGCGTTGGGTTATAAAAAAAATATCTGAAACTTTGAACATCCCACGGAGCACCATTAAAAATTATTCAAAAAATTGAAAGAATATGGCACCACAACAAACCTGCCAAGAGAGGGCCACCCACCAAAACTCACGGACCAGGCAAGGACGCATTAATCAGAGAGGCAACAAATAGACCAAAGATAACCCTGAAGGAGCTGCAAAGCTCCACAGCGGAGATTGGAATATCTATCCATAGGACCACTTTAAGCCGTACACTCCACAGAGCTGGGCTTTACGGAAGAGTGGCCAGAACAAAGCCATGGCTTAAAGAAAAAAATGTGGGAGACTCCCCAAACACATGGAAGAAGGTTCTCTGGTCAGATGAGACTAAACTTTAGCTTTTTGGCCATCAAGGAAACGCTATGTCTGGCGCAAACCCAACACCTCTCATCAACCCGAGAACACCATCCACCAGCATTGTGGTGGCAGCATCATGCTGTGGGGATGTTTTTCATCGGCAGGGACTTGGAAACTGGTCAGAATAGAAGGAATGATGGATGGCGCTAAAGACAGGGAAATTCTTGAGGGAAACCTGTTTCAGTCTTCCAGAGATTTCAGACTGGGACGGAGGATCACCTTCCAGCAGGACAATGACCCTAAGCATACTGCTAAAGCAACACTTGAGTGGTTTAAGGGGAAACATTTAAATGTCTTGGAATGGCCTAGTCAAAGCCCAGACCTCAATCCAATTGAGAATCTGTGGCATGACTTAAAGATTGCTGTACACCAGCGGAACCCATCCAACTTCAAGGAGCTGGAGCAGTTTTTCCTTAAAGAATGGGCTTAAATCCCAGTGGCTAGATGTGCCAAGCTTATAGAGACATACCTCACTTGCAGCTCTAATTGCTGCAAAAGGTGGCTCTACAAAGTATTGACTTTGGGGGGGGGGGGGGGGGGGGGGGGGGGGGTGAATAGTTACGCACGCTCAAGTTTTCTTATTTCTTGTATGTTTCACAATAAAACATATTTTTCATCTTCAAAGTGGTAGGTATGTTGTGTAAATCAAATGATACAAACCCCCCAAAAATCAATTTTAATTCCAGGTTGTAAGACAACAAAATAGGACAAATGCCAAGGGGGGTGAATACTTTCGCAAGCCACTGTAAATGCTTCACAGAGTTCAAGTAACAGACACATCTCAACATCAACTGTTCAGAGGAGACTGTGTGAATCAGCCCTTCATGGTCGAATTGCTGCAAAGAAACCACTACTAAAGGACACTAATAAGAAGAAGGGACTTGCTTGGGCCAAGAAACATGAGCAATGGACATTAGACCTGTGGAAATCTGGCCTTTGGTCTGATGAGTCCAAATTTGAGATTTTTGCTTCCAACCGCTGTGTCTTTGTGAGACGCAGAGTGGGTGAACGGATGAACTCTGCATGTGTGGTCCCACCGTGAAGCATGGAGGAGGAGATGTGATGGTGTGGGGGTGCTTTGCTGGTGACACTGTCTGTGATTTATTTAGAGTTCAAGGCACACTTAACCAGCATGGCTACCACAGCATTCTGCAGCGATACGCCATCCCATTTGGTTTGCGCTCAGTGGGACTATCATTTGTTTTTCAGCAGGACAATGACCCAACCCACCTCCAGGCTGTGTAAGGGCTATTTGACCAAGAAGGAGTGTGATGGAGAGCTGCATCAGATGACCTGGCCTCCACAATCACCCAACCTCAACCCAATTGAGATGGTTTGGGATGAGTTGGACCGCAGAGTGAAGGAAAGCAGCCAACAAGTGCTCAGCATATGTGGGAACTCCTTCAAGACTGTTGGAAAAGCATTCCAGGTGAAGCTTGTTGAGAGAATGCCAAGAGTGTGCAAAGCTGTCATCAAGGCAAAGGGTGGCTACTTTCCTAAAATCCTAAAAACTTGTCTGCTCAACTGTATGCCACTTCGCAAATGCGCCCCCAACTCAAAACATCTACCCGTGGCTATGATGACAACATATTCTGGATTTCAAGGTTCATTTTCACTCATCACACTCATTTTTAGGGAAGATCAAATCATTGGTTTTTTCCATTGTAACGTCATTATTCTTAAGTCTGAGTCCCAAGGTTACATGAGCTGTGGATCATCGCCTCACTGAACCAATTTGTTAACAGTGAGTAAATATTTAAAGTGCCGTTGACATGCCCTTTGCTGTGCTGATGGGATAACATTACGTGAGACGAGAGAGCTGGCTAGATTACAGGCTGTAGTAGTTCCGCTGATTCTACCTCCGCAAATGGAAGGCTTTCAGCTCTGTGCTGTGTGAGAGTGATTTTCAGGTGGCTTGGCTACACAACTCCCAAAGCTGAACAGATTAAAATGCTATAATGTATTTTGGCAACTTCAAACAACCTTATCATACTACAATATGCACTTGCAATTCAGGATTTCATTGCCAGCTGAGCTAATACTGCCTTCATTCCTCTACTACCTTGTTGCTTCTTATGCTGTCTAGAATAGCAATGCAAAGTAATGAACAAACAAGCCTCTTGACATTCGTTGCTGCAATAATGTTGGTTGACAACACTACATTGTTAAACAGCTGATTAATTGGTCTAATTAGCTCCTGTATTGTGTGCTAAATTACAATCATGGCTGTTTACGAAGGAGCTGATCACGGACTACAGGAGACAGCAGAGAGAGCACGCCCCCATCCACACTGACAGGGCTGCAGTGAAGAAGGTAAAAAGCTTCAAGTTCCTTGGCGTGCACATCACTGAGGACCTGAATTGGTCCCTTCACACCTACAGCGTGGTGAAGAAGGCTCAACAGCGCCTCTTCATCCTCAGGAGGCTGAATACATTTGGCTTGGCACCTAAGACCCTCTTGAACTTCTACAGATGTACCATCGAGAGCATTCTGTCGGGCTGTATCACCGCCTGGTTTGGCAAAAGCACCGCCCGCAACCGCAGGGCTCTCCAGAGGGTGGTGCGATTAGCCCAACGCATCATCGGGGGCACACTGCCTGCCTGCCCTCCAGGACATCTACAGCACCCGGTGTCACAGGAAGGCCAAGAAGATCATCAAGGACCTCAGCCACCTAAGCCACGGCCTGTTCACCCCGCTACCATCTAGAAGGCGGAGACAGTACATGTGCATCAAAGCTGGTACAGAGAGACTGATGAACAGCTTCTATCTCCAGGCCATCAGACTGTTAAACAGTCATCACTAGCCTGCCCTGAACCTTAGACACTGTTACTAGCCGGCTACCACCCGGTACTCTACCCTGCACCTTACAGCCTGCTGCCCCATGTACATAGAGTCATTGAACACTGGTCACTTCAATAATGTTTACATACTGTTTTACACACTTTATATCTATATACTGTATTCTAGTCATGGCTCATCCTTTATAACTACTGCTGTACACACCTTTTCTATTCATATACTGTCCATACTGTCAATACACACCATTACACATACTGCATATTTATATTCCGGACTCTGACATTGCTCGATCTGATAGGACTCCATTTCTTGTTCTTTAAAAAAAAACGTTTGGATTATGTGTGTATTGTTATTGTATTGCTAGATATTGCTGCACTGTTGGAGATAAGCATTTTGCTGCATCTGCGATAACATCTGCAAAACTGTCTACACAACCAATAAACTTTGATTTGATTTGTTAAACTTGTAGGGAAACATATCTGACTAAAGTACACATGAGGTTGCAAACTGATTTGATACAAAGTGGCTGTTTTGCTTGAAATGCATTTTTATAGTTGTCTAAAACAAGCTCTGCAGGGCACTGGTTAGTCACCGACACTGACACTCTTATTGACCTCTGACCTCTACAATGTCATCGCTGTATAGTTGACCATATCCCTTTCTCCCCTCAATATTGCACAGCACAGACTATTATCAACACTGTTTAAGAATGAGAACCCCTAGCAAAGGTATAAAATTACATGGTTGGCCACTTGGGAGGACAACCGTATGTACAGTAAATAAATTGCCTCTTTACACTGGGATGAAAAAGCTAGACATATCGATGCAAATGTTAACTCACAGGTGGGCAGAAAGGAAACCTAGTGAAGGTGGGTGGATACTTACCGTTGCCACATGCCAAAGCATGCATGGACATACGTTTTCCCGCACTCTCTCACAAACACACACACACGCTCTCACACACAGACAGCCCAGATTGTAGCAGCATGTTCTGCTGTCAACATTACAATCCACTCTGCTTTAGAACTTGCCATCCATGCAGTGTGGCGTAATGCTGTTTTAAAAAATATGTTTCATAAACGTAAGGCTCAAATTAATATGTTACATCATCCACCATATGCTCCACTCATTTAAAAGTGTGTCAATGCTGTTCTGCATAACTCTTTGAAGTGCAGGACCCCAGTAAGACTAGCTGTCACCATTGGTGTCTGCTAATGGGGATCCTAATAAATCAAATAAAATCAAATGACAACTTACACCTAACCATGTTGTAAACTTTTTCACTACAGTATAGTACAGTACCACCTAAATATTATAGGTGTTTAAAATGGGATTACATGGTCAGATGGAAAGTTCACCTGGACAGCCCAATACATTTATAAAGTGGCTGCATATCAATTCAACTCAAAGTTGAGAGGAGTTGGGTATAGTTTTGGGATCGTATACATTGCTAAGACCAGCTGTGTTGTCCACTTGAGTAAGAGATGAATGGCCTCTATTTATATTCACACTGCACTTTGCATGGCAAACTCATCACCCAGGAGACCCAGCCTTAGGCTCTAAGATTGGCCTGTCTCTCTGGCCACTCTTCCCTAGCATCAGGCCACTCTGTACCAGCATCACCCTACACATTGATTAATGAGATTGGAGATCAATTTTTGCCTGTTTAACAGGGTCCTGTTGGAGTTACTGATATTAACTTGATCCTGCTCCCAGTGGGGCAAGACGACAGGCCCCATTTTCCCCCAGCACTATGAATCCCTGCTCAGATGACAGCGGATATTTTTAACCTGTACTGATTATCTCGTGGTTAACACGTTATTTTATACATTATGCAGGAAGCCACAGACACTTTTTTGGTATGTGGAAATGACTGAAAATGGGTGAAATCAGTTTAAACCGAAATGATAGGCCTTAATTATTTTGCAAATGGAGCAGTATTATGGTATTACCATTTATTTAAAACAGCAATCAGCAGTTGAAACCATAACAAAACGTACTCTGTCGTAGCCGGCCGCGACCAGGAGACCCATGGGACGGCGCACAATTGGCCCAGTGTCGTCCAGGGTAGGGGAGGGAATGACCGGCAGGGATGTAGCTCAGTTGGTAGAGCATGGCGTTTGCAACGCCAGGGTTGTGGGTTTGATTCCCACGGGGGGCCAGTATGAAAAAATAAAAATATAAATGTGTGCACTCACTAACTGTAAGTCGCTCTGGATAAGAGCGTCTGCTAAATGACTAAAATGTTTTAACAGAAATAAAATCCAATATTTGAACACTGCCCGCAGTCAAATATTAGTGTGATTTCCTGTACATACACTAAGCTTCAGTAGACACCTGTTACACAGATCTTCCCTGTTATATAATTCTGACATGATAATTCTGACTGGGACGATCTCCAAAATACCATCTGTCTCTGAGACAAACATCCTAGTTTGATCTCCTATAAATGACAGACAGATCCCTTAGTTCCTGTCTCTAACAGGCTCTGTAGTTTCTTGTGACAGACTGATAAGATTTGGTTCTGGGTGCTAGGATTACAGTCTCTGTAAATGGCCTCTATACCTTAAGCCACAAAGTTATTATGTGCAGATTTTACGAGACAGAACAGCTAGCCTCTTGAGCTGACATCCGTTTTGCACTGTTTTGCTATGGCTGTATTAATCAATATAGCAAGGAGGCTTATGGACACTGGCTTTCACCTGGAATTATTTATTTATGTCTGAGAAAAAAACACTTTTCAACCCATATGATCTAGTACAGAATAAAAGTATGATAAACCATATACAACTTTGATGATATCATAGTGAATTCATGACATGCGAATGAACGAGCCATTTCGTACGGTATAGTATGTCTATATATAGTTACAATCAGTTTTAGGAAAATCTACCTTTTTATTACTTTACCCAAAATATCACGACATTAGTGATAGTAAAAATGTGTGACATTTGTGAACATCTAAATCAACATTTGGCCATTTATTCAGTGTGTCCACCCTATCGACAAGGAGACGTAAAATATTTTTTTGTTGTTGCCTAAATACATTTTTTACGTATTTTAGGTTTAGGTCACGACTGTGTAGGTGGCATTCTTTATCGTACAGCTATGAAAGTTATATATTTAGAAACGCCTGTTCCATAGAAATCCAGTGTCTAGTCTGTGTAATGAGCGAGTCAACATAAATAGCTGCTTTTCTAAGGACGTGAAGTAGCAAAGAGATAACAAAATTGATTGTAATGACGCAGCCAACCACTAGATGGAGCCAGAGATACCTTTATTCAAATCAAATCAAATTGTATTTGCCAAATGCGCCGTATACAACAGGTGTAGACCTTATAGTGAAATGCTTACTTACAAACCCTTAACCAACAATGCAGATTTAAGAAAGAAAAAAGTAAAAATAAATAAAACATTTAATAACAAATAATTTAAGAGCAGCAATAAAATAGAAGAACAGTAGGGAGGCTATATACAGGGGGTACCGGTACAGAGTCAATGTGCGGGGGCACCGGTTAGTCGAGGTAATTGAGGTAATATGTACATGTGAGTATAGTTAAAGTGAATACGCAGAGATAATAAACAGAGTAGCAGCAGCATGGGGTGGGGTGGGGGGGACAATGCAAATAGTCTGGGTTGCCATGATTAGCTGTTCAGGAATCTTATGGCTTGGGGGTAGAAGCTGTTAAGAAGCCGTTTGGACATAGACTTGGCACTCTGGTACCACTTGCCATGCGGTAGCAGAGAGAACAGTCTATGAATAGGGTGGCTGGAGTCTTTGACCATTTTTAGGGCCTTCCTCAGACACCTCCTGGTATAGAGGTCCTGGGTGGCAGGAATCTTGGCCCCAGTGATGTACTGGGCCGTACGCACTACCCTCTGTAGTGCCTTATTATCGGAGGTCGAGCAGTTGCCATACCAGGCGGTGGTGCAACCAATCAGGATGCTCTCGATGGTGCAGCTGTAGAAAGTTATGAGGATCTGAGGACCCATGCCAAGTCTTTTCAGTCCCCAGAGGGGGAATAGGCTTTGTCGTGCCCTCTTCACAACTGTCTTGGTGTGTTTGGACCATGATAGTTTGTTGGTGATGTGGACACCAAGGAACTTGAAGCTCTCAACCTGTTCCACTACAGCCCTGTCGATGACAATGGGGGCGTGCTCAGTCCTCTTTTTTTTCCTGTAGTCCACAATCATCTCCTTTGTCTTGATCAGGTTGAGGGAGAGGTTGTTATCCTGGCACCACCTCCTCCCTATAGGCTGTCTCATCGTTGTCGGTGATCAGGCCTACCATCGGCAAACTTAATGATGGTGTTGGAGTCGTGCCTGGCCATGCAGTCATGGTTAAACAGGGAGTACAGGAGGGGACTGAGCACACACCCCTGAGGGGCCCCTGTGTTGAGGATCAGCATGGCAGATGTGTTGTTACCTACCCTTACCACCTGGGGGTGGCCCGTCAGGAAGTCCAGGATCCAGTTGCAGAGGGAGGTGTTTAGTCCCAGGATCCTTAGCTTAGTGATGAGCTTTGAGGGCACTATTTTGTTGAATGCTGAGCTGTAGTCAATGAATAGCAGGTGTTCCTCTTGTCCAGGTGGGAAAGGGCAGTGTGGAGTGCAATAGAGATTGCATCATCTGTGGATCTGTTGGGGCGGTATGCAAATTGGAGTGGGTCTAGGGTTTCTGGGATAATGGTGTTGATGTGAGCCATGACCAGCCTTTCAAAGCACTTCATGGCTACAGACGTGAGTGCTATGGCTCGGTAGTCATTTAGGCAGGTTATCTTAGTGTTCGTGGGCACAGGGACTATGGTGGTCTGCTTGAAACATGTTGGTATTACAGACTCAGTCAGGGACATATTGAAAATGTCAGTGTAGACACTTGCCAGTTGGTCAGCACATGCTCAGAATACATGTCCTGGTAATCCGTCTGGACCTGCGGCCTTGTGAATGTTGACCTGCTTAAAAGTCTTATTCACATCGGCTACGGAGAGCGTGATCACATAGTCATCCGGAACAGCTGATGCTCTCATGCATGCTTCAGTGTTGCTTGCCTCGAAGCGAGCATAGAAGTGATTTAACTCGTCTGGTAGGCTTGTGTCACTGGGCAGCTCGTGGCTGTGCTTCCCTTTGTAGTCTGTAATAGTTTGCAAGCCCTGCCACATCCGACGAGCGTCGGAGCCGGTGTAGTACGATTCGATCTTAGCCCTGTATTGACTCTTTGCCTGTTTGATGGTTCGTCGGAGGGCATAGTGGGATTTCTTATAAGTGTCCGGGATAGAGTCCCGCTCCTTGAAAGCGGCAGCTCTACCCTTTAGCTCAGTGCGGATGTTGCCTGTAATCCATGGCTTCTGGTTGGGGTATGTACGTACAGTCACTGTGGGGACGACATCATCGATGCACTTATTGATGAAGCTAGTGACTTATGTGGTGTACTCCTCAATGCCATCGGAAGAATCCCGGAACATATTCCAGTCTGTGCTAGCAAAACAGTCCTGTAGCTTAGCATCTGCGTCATCTGACCACTTCTTATTAACCGAGTCACTGGTGCTTCCTGCTTTCGTTTTTGCTTATTAGCAGGAATCAGGAGAATGGAATTATGGTCAGATTTGCCAAATGGAGGGCGAGGGAGGACGAGGGAGAGCTTTGTACGCGTCTCTGTGTGTGGAGTAAAGGTGGTCTAGAGTTTATTTTCAACAGAGAAGCCTCTTTTTGTCCTGGAACTGTCTAGTTTTTATTGTTCTGACTTATAAAACTGTGGGAAATGAATCAAATACGTCATGTAAACATATTATCAGTAATTACCAGTAAATCTGGTGCCCGAAATCGGCCACTGTAGTCTTAAGAGGCTAGTGGACCAAATTCTCAATCATTGCCAGAGCAATATCTTATTTCCACCAATAGCCATAGTCTATGACTGCTATCACCATACATATGGGCCTCGAGAGTAAGGTGCACCAATATAGTGTAATCCAGAATATGATACAGCTAGAAACCAATCCGGTTGGCCAGCAGGTCCAGGTATGGGCAACCACATGGTTGGTTACAGCTAGTGTCGCCTCGTGATGGATTACAATCAGGATTACAGCGCCTTGCCTTGGCTGTCCATTTGTAACCCACTTCCTGTCTCCTGGGTGGTTGATCTAGCTGGCTGTCGCAGGCTGATATCGGAGGATTGTCTCCTCCCACTTCAACACCACAGTGGCTGTCGTGATTTATTCCAATGTCGATAGCAGAGTGAGAATTATTACATGGACCCGTGGCATGAAGGCAATTATCTCATAATTCCCAATTAAACTATGGAATGGGCTTTTTTACTTTCTATACATGTTTTTGCAATTTCCAGGGATTACAAACAGATCAGGGAATCCAGTGGTTGCAGATGAATTATAGGATGGTCCTTGCTTTATGGTAGCCTTTTGTATCAGGTGCACAAGCATCCCAGAGTCCCTCATTTGAGTCTGACTGATTGTAATTCAGTAAAAAATGCAGCAGAGAGAAAGAGACATTATCACTCAGAGGGGAGAGAGCGGAGAATTACTCAAAGACAATCACAGAGAAGAAATCAAAGAAAAAGAAGAACAGAGAGTCAGAGGGAGATAGAGAGTGGGAAGAGACAAATAGAGATGGGGTAGAGTGTCTGAATGCACAAAGTGACAACCCTTCATGTGACAGTGAGGCCAAGTGTGAGTCATTCAAATCAGGAGTGGTTTACCTTTTGCACAGGGACTCAGTGATCTCATAGTCACATGGGGATACTCCCAGCACAAACATCTAGCATGGCTCATTCAACACACACAAGCACACACAAGAACAGACACAAAATCCACAGCTGTATAAAGCACTAGCTTGATATTTCTTTGCTCAGAATGTTACGCTTGCCATTTAGACATGTATTACTCATAACGTAGAACTTTTTTGATTGCTTGCTAAGCTAGACACTTCATAGTCAGCTTGCATTATTTTTTCAATGTTAAATAAACATTAAATGGCCAAGGTCAAATACACTCTCTTCTCATGTAAGTGAAATAATACATTTTCCCTGACGTCCATGCCCGAGGCAAAGACAGTTGATGATTTTGTAATGTAATGCAATGTTAACTGCGTACTGAATATAATATGAGACAGTGATGTGGAAAGCCAGTGAATTCACAGTGACGTCATATTTACAGATCTGCTCATGCAGTGTGGTAACAGCTCTCTGTGGAGTTACCTGATAGGCTGTGAAGGAAAATGTAGACATTGACCCAGTCACATGAGCTGTGGATCATGAACAGTGTTGATAGCTGTGTCACATTAGGCCTCAGACACTGGCCCATGGGACCCATGGGAGCTAAGCCGCCCTGCCCTGCTATGCCCTGCTCTGGCCTGCCCTGTGAATGGCTGTGGCTCCTGTTACCCAGCTGGCCACTGTGGTATCAGCCTGGTCTCATAGACTAGACGTAACATAGTAAATATAAATCCAGGGCACTCAAATTAGTATGATATGTTACGTTTGGTATGGTTACATAAGACAGAAGGTTACTTAAAGGGATACATCGGGATTTTGGCGTTGTTGGAGTCAGATGAACTGGTGGATACCATTTTTATGTCTCTGTGTCCAGTAAGAAGGAAGTCAGAGGTAGTTATGCGAGCCAATGCTAACTAGCGTTAGTGCAATGACTGGAAGTCTATGGGTATCTGCTAGCGCTAGTTAGAAACCTCCTTCAAACTGCATGCAGAGACATAAAAATGGTATCCACGAGTTCATCTGACTCTGGGGAAGTAGATCCCGAAGTATACCTTTAAGGCAAAAACTAAAGTAGGGTGGTTGGTTGGTTGGTTGGTTGGTTGGTTGGGGTGGATGGGTAGACATATAACGCAAACATTTAGCAACCAAAAGGTTGCGTGTTCAAATCTAATCTTGGACAACTTTAGCATTTTAGCTAATTAGCAACTTTGCAACAACTTACTACTTTTTAGCTACTTTGCAACTACTAAGAATGTTAGCTAACCCTTCCCCTAACCCTAACCCTTTAACCTAACTCCTAACCCTAACCTTAACCCTAACCTTAACCCTAACCTAACCCTATCCCCAAGCCATAAGATTGCTACACAGAGTATCTGAGTTGACCCTTGTATATTATTTTAGTTTTTGCACTGTCTTTATGCACACTCACAGGACTCTACACACTCACGCACACTGACACTCCAACATGCACATAACATGCACACACATTTGTACTGACTCTACACTCACGCACACACACACTCACATACAATCATCGTTTACGCTGCTGCTACTCTGTTTATCATATATCCTGATGCCTAGTCACCTTACCCCATACATATCTACCTCTATCAGTTCAGTATCCCTGCACAGACATACATTTGTTGACCAGTGTACAATTCATAAATAAAAAGGGGGAAAAAAACAATAGGTAGCTTGTAAATGTGGTATTGGAACTGACCCTGTATATAGCTTCTTACTTTCTTGTGTACTTCTTATTTCTTATTTTTATTTATTGTGTGTTTTTGTTCTATCTTATGTTACATTTAGTGCTACATTGATATTGATTACTGCATTGTTGGGTTTGGAGCTTGCAGCAAGAAAGACATTTCACTGCACTTGTACAGAACCCCTAACTCTAACCCCTAGCCTAGCTAACATTAGCCACCTAGCTAACGTTAGCATTAGCATTAGCCACCTTCGTCACCTAGCTAACATTAGCCACAACAAATTGGAATTCGTAACATATCATATGAAATGGATCATACGAAACAAATCAATACTTACCATACAAAACCGAACATATCATACTAATTGGAGTGCCCTGGATTGCGTCCTACCTGACCGGTCGCTCCTACCAAGTGGCGTGGCGGGAAGCTGTCTCCGCACCACGTGCTCTCACCACTGGTGTCCCCCAGGGATCGGTTTTGGGCCCTCTCCTTTTCTCCCTATACACCAAGTCACTTGGCTCTGTCATATCCTCACATGGCCTTTCCTATCATTGCTACGCTGACGATACACAACTAATCTTCTCCTTTCCCCCTTCTGATCACCAGGTGGCGAATCGCATCTCTGCATGTCTGGCAGACATATCAGTATGGATGACGGATCACCACCTCAAGCTGAACCCTGGCAAGACGGAGCTGCTCTTCCTCCCCGGGAAGGACTGCCCGTTCCATGATCTCGCCATCACGGTAGACAACTCCGCTGTGTCCTCCTTCCAGAGTGCGAAGAGCCTAGGCGTGACCCTGGACAACACCCTGTCGTTCTCCGCCAACATCAAGGCGGTGACCCGCTCCTGCAGGTTCATGCTCTACAACATTCGGAGAGTGCGACCCTGCCTTACACAGGAAGCGGCGCAGGTCCTGGTCCAGGCACTTGTCATCTCCCGTCTGGACTACTGCAACTCGCTGTTGGCTGGGCTCCCTGCCTGTGCCATTAAACCCCTACAACTCATCCAGAATGCCGCAGCCCGTCTGGTGTTCAACCTTCCCAAGTTCTCTCACGTCACCCCCCTCCTCCGCACACTCCACTGGCTTCCAATTGAAGCTCGCATCCGCTACAAGACCATGGTGCTTGCCTTTGGAGCAGTGAGGGGAACGGCACCCCTGTACCTTCAGGCTCTGATCAGTCCCTACACCCAAACGAGGACATTGCGTTCATCCACCTCTGGCCTGCTGGCTCCCCTTCCTCTGCGGAAGCACAGCTCCCCCTCAGCCCAGTCAAAACTGTTCGCTGCTCTGGCACCCCAATGGTGGAACAAGCTCCCTCACGACGCCAGGACAGCGGAGTCACTCACCACCTTCCGGAGACATTTGAAACCCCACCTCTTTAAGGAATACCTGGGATAGGCTAAAGTATTCCTTCTAACCCCCCCCCCCCCCCCCCCCCCCCCCAAATTGTAAAGTGGTTATCCCACTGGCTATAGGGTGAACGCACCAATTTGTGAGTCGCTCTGGCTAAGAGCGTCTGCTAAATGACGTTGATGTGCCCTTGAGCAAGGCACTTAACCCTAATTGCTCCTGTAAGTCGCTCTGGTTAAGAGCGTCTGCTAAATGACTAAAATGTAAAATGTAAAATATATGTTACGCCTACCCCTGAGTCTAGGTTGGTGCTATAGAACTGTGTTTCTCTAAATGATACATGTTCATCCTTAACCCAAGAGCTCTGGAGACAGCAGTGGATCATGTTGACACTCATTCCCTAATGAAACATTTAGGCACCTGATTTGTGGCAAACAGGCAGACCTGCGCACAGGAACGTCCCCTCAGAGGAGTGTACTGACAGATATCTGATTACAAAGACTGTATCCTTGGCAGGTTTATGGAGAGAGGTTGTCAATTGATATGCAAGGTTGGTCATCAATACATATTATGCAGATGAAGATCAGTTATTACTCATTTTGCAACAGTCACATTATCTACTGACTGTCTATGGGGATCCACAGTCAAGAGGGACTCTGAAAGAATACATCAATAGGCATAATTAGATAATATGTGTCTTGGGCATCTGTCAATTTGGTAAAAACAGTCATCTGGACAGTGACCCTTTCAATCCATAAAATCCCAGAATATTTGGCATTCACAACACACTCAGCACAGTTACCCAATAAGAGTTATGCAAACAGCGTATGCACAACGTATGCTGTGTGCAGTGCAGTGGACTGGTACAGTATGTCTATCACATGGGGAATCAGCATGTGAGAACAGGCACAAACGGGTCCAGAGCATGTCTACACTGCTGCTGCTAAAGTAATGCTAAACAGGGTCTAATCCATGATAACAGTATTAGGACAGAAGGGGAGATTCATGTCTGGTGAGTTGGGAATTATTTGATGGGTGGAGGATTTTGACTATGTTTTCATTATTCCATGTTTCCATGTTCACTCTATGGTAATATAAACTGGCTGTTGATGCTGTTTGAGCATCAATCCTAACCATTACCATTTTAGCTCTGGATTAAAGGGTACCATTATTCTGTGACAAATCATGCACCCAAGGAGGATGCTGATGATGGTTCTGTGAAGTGTTGATACATGTTGAGGAGCTTATCAAGTCAGCCTCGTTCTATAAATGACTGTCCATCTGCTACTGCAGGAAAAGTGGTGGTCAACAGACCTACCCCAAACACAAAAACACATGCACGCATGCACGCAAGCATACACGCACGCACGCACGCACGCACGCATGCGCACACACACACACACACACACACACACACACACACACACACACACACACACACACACACACACACACACACACACACACACACACAGAGAGAGAGAGAGAGAGAGAGAGAGAGACACACACACTCACCACTCATGAATCAGGTCCTTTCATAATACTCAATAATATTTTGGGTGGTTTGAAGTTTTCACACCAACACATCTGTTCAGCAATACCAACTTGGTATTGTTAGCAGTGTGTAGGTGTGTCTGACTCTATAATCTATCCTTTGGAACAGTTTCTGTATGTATGGTTCACAACAATTCCTCTACAATGTGAGCAGTTGAGAAGAGACTGGTTGAATCATGCACAGATTTTCAGAAAACCTTCTGTGGAAGGATTATTTGACTTCTCATGCCCTAGACCCATGAGAAATTACATTTACTTGAAAATGCCTTTGGAGCTGCAGCCAGGGATTTCAAATCATAAGTTCTCCTTTGATTTCAAATGTACAGCTTTGTTAATTTTACCGATATGCATAAGCAACATTTCCTCTTTTTTATGAGCACAGAGGGAGTCCCAGAATAATACTGTACCACTGTGCTATACGAATTTCCTACTTGCAAATGCATTCATCAGTATATACTGTATCATGTAATGTGGGGAAAAAAGTATTTAGTCAGCCACCAATTGTGCAAGTTCTCCCACTTAAAAAGATGAGAGAGGCCTGTAATTTTCATCATAGGTACACGTCAACTATGACAGACAAAATGAGAAAAAATAATCCAGAAAATCACATTGTAGGATTGTTAATGAATTTATTTGCAAATTATGGTGGAAAATAAGTATTTGGTCAATAACAAAAGTTTCTCAATACTTTGTTATATACCCTTTGTTGGCAATGACACAGGTCAAACGTTTTCTGTAAGTCTTCACAAGGTTTTCACACACTGTTGCTGGCCCAATTTTGGCCCATTCCTCCATGCAGATCTCCTCTAGAGCAGTGATGTTTTGGGGCTGTCGCTGGGCAACACGGACTTTCAACTCCCTCCAAAGATTTTCTATGGGGTTGAGATCTGGAGACTGGCTAGGCCACTCCAGGACCTTGAAATGCTTCTTACGAAGCCACTCCTTCGTTGCCCGGGCGGTGTGTTTGGGATCGTTGTCATGCTGAAAGACCCAGCCACGTTTCATCTTCAATGCCCTTGCTGATGGAAGGAGGTTTTCACTTAAAAATTCACGATACATGGCCCCATTCATTCTTTCCTTTACACGGATCAGTCGTCCTGGTCCCTTTGCAGAAAAACAGCCCCAAAGCATGATGTTTCCACCCCCATGCTTCACAGTAGGTATGGTGTTCTTTGGATGCAACTCAGCATTCTTTGTCCTCCAAACACGACGAGTTGAGTTTTTACCAAAAAGTTATATTTTGGTTTCATCTGACCATATGACATTCTCCCAATCCTCTTCTGGATCATCCAAATGCACTCTAGCACACTTCAGACGGGCCTGGACATGTACTGGCTTAAGCAGGGGGACACGTCTGGCGCAGCAGGATTTGAGTCCCTGGCGGCGTAGTGTGTTACTGATGGTAGGCTTTGTTACTTTTGTCCCAGCTCTCTGCAGGTCATTCACTAGGTCCCCCCGTGTGGTTCTGGGATTTTTGCTCACCGTTCTTGTGATCATTTTGACCCCACGGGGTGAGATCTTGCGTGGAGCCTCAGATCGAGGGATATTATCAGTGGTCTTGTATGTCTTCCATTTCCTAATAATTGCTCCCACAGTTGATTTCTTCAAACCAAGCTGCTTACCTATTGCAGATTCAGTCTTCCCAGCCTGTTGCAGGTCTACAATTTTGTTTCTGGTGTCCTTTGACAGCTCTTTGGTCTTGGCCATAGTGGAGTTTGGAGTGTGACTGTTTGAGGTTGTGGACAGGTGTCTTTTATACTGATAACAAGTTCAAACAGGTGCCATTAATACAGGTAACGAGTGGAGGACAGAGGAGCCTCTTAAAGAAGAAGTTACAGGTCTGTGAGAGCCAGAAATCTTGCTTATTTGTAGGTGACCAAATACTTATTTTCCACCATAATTTGCAAATAAATTCATAAAAAATCCTACAATGTGATTTTCTGGATTTTGTTTTCTAAATTTGTCTGTCATAGTTGACGTGTACCTATGATGAAAATTACAGGCCTCTCTCATCTTTTTAAGTGGGAGAACTTGCACAATTGGTGGCTGACTAAATACTTTTTTTCCCCACTGTATTTGCCCAGTGCTGACGCAAACAGCATAGTGTTCTTCAGGTCTACTGCTAAATAAAGTGATCAAGTCTGTGTGTGAGTGTGTGTATGTTTGGTTGATGGTCACAATGGTTTATTAATGGTTAGCAGGTGGTTTTGCCTCCTAGCCAGGCCACACAGTAAACACTCACTGATTTAAATGTAAATGCATTACATGAGGTGAGACGCTGCACAGTCAACTCAATTTGAGAGTGCATCTCTGGGTCCAGTTGGCAGGTATGCCAGAGGGGTTGGCTGGCTGGGCCAATGGCCTGTTGTTTGTTGCTGCTGATGTGTGCTTTGGCCAGCATCTCTAATATCATTCATTACAGCCTGCAGTAGATAACACTGAGGACAAGTGATGAATGCATTTGCAGCTTCTTAACACGGGGAATGAGGTATTCCTGCCAATTTATCAACTTCTATTTCTCTCGCAGACCCAACTTTTTGCGAATGCTTTATTATTGAGGAGTAGGAGGGAGAGGAAGAGGCGTGGCAATTGCATGGTAACTAACTAAATGTGTGAGGATGATTTTGTTAGTTGTCAGCAGTTTGCAATGTCCACCCACTGCTTGTGTCCACACAAGCCTCTACAAAACATAACTACTTGCATTCCTATGATAAAAAAATAAGATAGAAGTAAGGTTATGAGGGCCTCCTGAGTGGCGCAGCGGTCTAAGGCACTGCATTGCAGTGTTGCGGCATCACTACAGCCTGGGGTTCGATCGTGACCGGGAGTCCCATAGGGTGTCGCACAATTGGCCCAGTGTCGTCCGGTTTCTCCTGAGTTTCTCCTCAGGTTTCTCCTGAGTGGCGCAGTGGTCTAAGGCACTGCATCGCAGTGCTAACTGTGCCACTAGAGATCCTGGTTCGAATCCAGGCTCTGTCGCAGCCGGCCGCGACCGGGAGACTCATGTGCGGCGCACAATTGGCCCAGCGTCGTCCAGGGTAGGGGAGGGAATGGCCGGCAGGGATGTAGCTCAGTTGATAGAGCATGGCGTTTGCAACGCCAGGGTTGTGGGTTCGATTCCCACGGGGGGCCAGTATAAAAAATATATATATATGTATTCACTAACTGTAAGTCGCTCTGGATAAGAGCGTCTGCTAAATGAGTAAAAATGTAAAAATGTAAAAATGTTTAGGGGAGGGTTTGGCCGGGGGGGCTTTACTTGGCTCATCGCTCTCTAGCAACTCCTTGTGGCGGGCCTGGCGCCTGCAGGCTGACTTCGGTCATCAGTTGAACAGTGTTTCCCCAGACACATTGGTGTGGCTGGCTTCCAGGTTAAACGAGCGAGTGTTAAGAAGCGTGGTTTGGCGGGTCATGTTTCGGAGGACGCATGACTCGACCTTCGCCTCTCCCGAGCTCGTTGGGGAGTTGCAGCGATGAGAAAAGATTGTAATCACAAAAATGGGGTAAAAAAAGAACTTTATGTGAACATGACGTCCATATCCACAGGGTAATGTTTACAATATCTAGTCACACAGACATAATGGATAGGATACCTGGGCTGTTACCAGCTTTACCCACTACCCACTGAATTATCGATTGTATTAGTTTATCTTAGTAATCCTTTCTCCATATTTTTAAAAGGATAGAGATAACATGAGATAGCTATTTAGGCTTTTATGGGACGATGTTTGTCTTTACAATGTGTTGATGTCCCATGTTTATGTGGATCGTCATGTAATGTCCCCCGTGGAACGACCTTGGCTCGGAGACAGTGACAGCTGCGCACGCTTATTTATGTACTGTATCTATTGGTTCATATGCCGACTTATGTATTCATGATGTTTATGCTGTGTATCTTTGCCTTGGAATTGAATACAGTACACATGTACAGTAAACTGTACATCCACAGATGTCATCATAGTGTTTTACCACATTCATCTGGGGTTATTCAGCAGACCTGAACTATTTGACTTGTACAAATATTCAAACATAGTGTGCTGTATGTTAGTGGATTCTATATTAACTGGTGGTCTATACACAGTCTTGCAAAAATGATTATCATGAATAGATGTCCTCTGCATTTTCAAGGACAATATCTAAATAATATTAAAATGTGATGTCAAGCAAACAACATGTGGCTCTCCTATTGTTAGTAGCTCCAAATACAATGAATGGTGATTGGAGTAATGTGGAGTAAATTCTGAAAGTAAAGAAGTTGTAAAATGTGAAACTATTGAATTGCTACAGAGTATTTACTTAGCAGCCTACTGTGAATCCCATAGTCTGGGATTTGTTATGTTTCTATCTTGAAAGAGTGGAAGAAATGAACATCTCCACAATGGGGCTTTGTTTCCCTCTGCATTATTAACACATGAATCCCACAACAATAACCTCTGGGTTTGGATGTTCAGTCTAATCATCTCCATATAAGCAGATGTTACCCTTTGTGGGATACACACTCCTGTGGGAGAATTGTCATCCCCTTTGTCTTTTGTTTGTTTTCCAGAGTTTCGTGCCTGAGACACAGAGAGGGAGAGATAGAGAACGAGAGAGACGGGCCCCCGCCAACACACCAGTGCCGTAACATTACCTAACTCACCCAGGCAGAAACACAATGGTGAAGGACCCGATGGCCTACAGCCTCCACCACCAGGAAGGATACAGGAAGTGTTTGGTTACATTGGTCATACAAACAGCACTCACTAATTGATTGATTTAGCACAACGTTAATAGACCACCGGCATGAGGGGAGAGGCAGGTGTTTGGCTTGGACGGTACACTACGCACACAGCCATGGCAACATCTCATGCTCAAGCAGAATTGTAAACGTGAGGTGGTTTTCTGTTGTTGTGTTTGTTTTGCTGCTGTGGATGAAGCTGCAGGCAGTCTGTAGTGAAATTAACCTGAGACCATGCCCCTGAAGGTCTCCCCCCAGAGCTTGTTTCTCATTGTCTTTCATTACTCTCCCTGGCACTGTGGGTTCGGCCAGGAAAATAATGAGGGAGCCAAAATTAGAACAGAGGAAGGGGTTCCTCTTTCTACTGGGAAAATATAAATAGAACACACAGCAATAGCATGGCATAAGATTTGCTAAGATAATATCATCTTAGTATTGCACGGCTTTCCTTTTTTTTAGGTCACGCAAGCTGTAAGCAAAGTAGCATCCCCCTGACGAAGCCACTTACCATTCGGAAGCTTGTGACTGTTTTCCTCCAGCCATGCAAACAGGTTGGCAAAGTTGCAGTTGCACACCCAAGGGTTGCCCTCCAGTCTCACCACCCGTAAAGAGGGCAACTGGCTCAGCGCTCCCACCTGAAGGCCAGACAGGGCATTACGCTCCAGCTCCAGTTCACGCAGGGAGGTGAGACCCAGGAACGCGTCCTCATTGACCATGCTCAGATAGGGGTTGTTACCCAGGCGGAGTTTGATCAGGCTACGGGACTGCCCAAAGGTGCCCGAGGGGATGTCAGTCAGGTTGTTGCTGCCCAAGTCCAGAAACACCAGCCTGGAAGAGGTGCTGAGGGTGCCCGGCTCAATGTGGGACAGAGAGTTGTTCCGCAGGTCCAGGTAGACCAGGTCACTGTAGAGCACAAGGAAGTCAGAGGGAATGCGGGGGATCCAGTTGTCAGACAAAAGGAGCCTGCGGATGTCCAAAGGGATCTCATCAGGAAGACGGGTGAGTCCACGACCGCTGCAGTCCACAGTGTGGGGATCCGGGCACAGGCAGCTCGCTGGGCAGTTTTCCCCCTGAGCCCGTAAGACAGAGGACAGAAAGACGAGGAGAGGCTGGATCCAGCAGACACATGGCAACATGGTCAACAGCGTAAGAGCAGAGAGGAGGAGTGGAGGTTTGGGGTGAGGAAGAATGGGAAGGGGTGTTAGGAAGGAGAAGGGGCGTGAGGGTCAGAGGTCAGGAGATTAGGAAAGGGGAGGGGAAGGGGAGAACGAGAGGGGAAAAGGGGGGATCAATCCCTGTGCAGGAACATCCTGCCGTTCTTGAGATTAAAATCTGAGAGAGCTCCGGCATCGAACAGCGAGAGAGCAGCGTCGAGCGCTGTTTTCCAAGAGATCATGTAGGAAGCAGCCTGGAGAGAATAGCAAGCTGCTGGCTTTGAATGAAGCTAGGGGAGGGAGATAGCAAGGAGTGAGAGGGAGACAGCAAGAGAGAGGGAGAGAGAGCTTAGCAGGGGTAAATAGAAACTTGCGAAGCAGGAACCGAGCAACACTGGAGGCACAGACAGGGAGAGGGAGGCTGAGGAGGGGGCTCTGTTAACCCACAGTCGATCTTGGGGGATTGACTGAGGAGGACGCATGGGTCTCTGACACAAAAGGATACGCGCTGGAGTGATTCAGTCTCAGACAGAAGAGTGAAAGAGTGAAGAGTGAAATTGTTGCATCCCTCCATTTGTCTCTGGTATCTGCTTGGGAATGCTTGTCAATCTGCCTGCTGATCTAAGAGAGACAATCGCACAGTAACACAGCTGAAGTGAATGCACGTTTTTTTTAAATTCTGTCTCTACCTCCCTGTGCTCTGCTCTGCCATTCGCCGGCAGAGCAGAGCTAGACAAAACACTCCCCAGCTGGGTCCCGACGCTCTGTTGCTATGGAGAGAGAATCCAAATATCCGTGGAGGAGTCATATTCACACAGATGACAATCCTGAACTTAGCACAGTAGCAGTCAATCGAATGTCTGTCTGTCTCAGAATGTGCTACCAGGGTTTATGTTATGCCCTCCTCCTCATTGCTATGAAGGAGGCGTGCCTTTACCATGTTGACAACACGTGATGTCACTTCCTACTGTGAAAATATGAGGGTCCTTTCACTCTGAAAAATGATACCAGTTTTTCCCAATCATTTATGTTATTGATGAAAATAAATGCATGATTAAATTATCTGGATTATTTGGGCGATTAAAAACATTAATAAATATAAATGTAAACCAAATTTAGCATATCTGTGTTAGCAACTTTTTATTTGTATTTTGCATATTTTATGCTTTGACTTTTTGTTATCACAGACTATAATAAAGCACTATAACCAATTCAACAATTCAACATTTATTTCAAGATAAAAAATCACTTATCGTTTATATTTCACTAATGAATCTGTAATGAATGTTATATTTTTTTATTCGTCCTACCTCAAACACAATCTTACATATCTCTCCTTACAGTCTTATAATTGCTGAGTCTCTCACAATGACGAGAAAAGGCTTTGATAGACAGCCTCACAGTTATATCACCATTTCCGAGAAGATCTTGTCCCGGAGTGACAGACAGACACCATTACACAACCTGCCCACGGCACAGTCAGACGGAGGCTTCATTAGTTATTCCTGCAAATGGAAAATACCTTTTCAAAAACTGCACATAAAACCTTCGCCCTTATTTGTACTGTGAGCCAAACATCAGCACTTTTAGTCAGCTCAGGTTATACAATTATCATTTTGATGCACTGGCACAGTAGATTAGGCTACAACTGCCTGATGGGAACAAATACATTTTCTTCATACAGCCATCAATCCCCTTTGTGTCTACAGTCTATATCCTTCATAGTAAAGCACAAAGGGACCAGTGACTGCCATCTCAAACCACAACTGTGGAACAGATTTGAATTCAGACTCTAAATTAGACTTCCCCAATGGGATCTGTAGCAAAAGGGAAATGGAATTAGACCAAGGTTGTAGCACAGGGACAGAGTGGAGTGGAGGAGTGGGGTCCTGAGAGACGTGGAGGGAGTTGGAATAGTAACAGGCTCAGTCTGATGGGATGTAATGTGAGAATGTGGAGTATATTTCAATGGGTAAATAGAAAAACTGCCTGAGCCATTATTACCAGTAGTGACCCATAACATACATTGTGTTTGGAAATGCAAACAGCTCCAGTTGTCAGTGAATAAGAGCAACTCATATACAGTGTACAGAACCTCATCATCTGTAAACCAATATCTTACATCCCTGCTTTAGGGTGTGAGCTGAAGTGAGATGTGTTTGCTGTAAAGTACACCTGTGATTTTGACAGATTCCCCAGGGCAGGACAGCAGCTTCTTCATCAAAATAACTTATATTTCTACCTATTCCAGCACCATGATGTAATGTTTCAAATGTTCTGCGAGGGAAAAGCACATCTCTATTATACCCTAACAGCCAGGCTTCATGGCGGCTGGGCATTCTTTCATTACTAGACTGGTGATTTGTGTGACTTGCCAGGCAGAGGATCTACAGTGAGGGAAAAAGTATTTGATCCCCTGCTGATTTTGTACGTTTGCCCACTGACAAAGAAATGATCAGTCTATAATTTCAATGATAGGTTTATTTGAACAGTGAGAGACAGAATAACAACAAAAAAATCCAGAAAAACGCATGTAAGAAATGTTATAAATTGATTTGCATTTTAATGAGGGAAATAAGTATTTGACCCCTCTGCAAAACATGACTTAGTACTTGGTGGCAAAACCCTTGTTGGCAATCACAGAGGTCAGATGTTTCTTGTAGTTGGCCACCAGGTTTACACACATCTCAGGAAGGATTTTGTCCCACTCCTCTTTGCAGATCTTCTCCAAGTCATTAAGGTTTCGAGGCTGACGTTTGGCAACTCGAACCTTCAGCTCCCTCCACAGATTTTCTATGGGATTAAGGTCTGGAGACTGGCTAGGCCACTCCAGGACCTTAATGTGCTTCTTCTTGAGCCACTCCTTTGTTGCCTTGGCCGTGTGTTTTGGGTCATTGTCATGCTGGAATACCCATCCACGACCCATTTTCAATGCCCTGGATGAGGGAAGAAGGTTCTCACCCAAGATTTGACGGTACATGGCCCCGTCCATCGTCCCTTTGATGCGGTGAAGTTGTCCTGTTCCCTTAGCAGAAAAACACCCCCAAAGCATAATGTTTCCACCTCCATGTTTGACGGTGGGGATGGTGTTCTTGGGGTCATAGGCAGTATTCCTCCTCCTCCAAACGCGGCGAGTTGAGTTGATGCCAAAGAGCTCGATTTTGGTCTCATCTGACCACAACACTTTCACCCAGTTCTCCTCTGAATCATTCAGATGTTCATTGGCAAATTTCAGACTGGCATGTATATGTGCTTTCTTGAGCAGGGAGACCTTGCGGGCACTGCAGGATTTCAGTCCTTCACGGCGTAGTGTGTTACCAATTGTTTTCTTGGTGAATATGTTCCCAGCTGCCTTGAGATCATTGACAAGATCCTCCCGTGTAGTTCTGGGCTGATTCCTCACCGTTCTCATGATCATTGCAACTCCACGAGGTGAGATCTTGCATGGAGCCCCAGGCCGAGGGAGATTGACAGTTATTTTGTGTTTCTTCCATTTGCGAATAATCGCACCAACTGTTGTCACCTTCTCACCAAGCTGCTTGGCGATGGTCTTGTAGCCCATTCCAGCCTTGTGTAGGTCTACAATCTTGTCCCTGACATCCTTGGAGAGCTCTTTGGTCTTGGCCATGGTGGAGAGTTTGGAATCTGATTGATTGCTTCTGTGGACAGGTGTCTTTTATACAGGTAACAAACTGAGATTAGGAGCACTCCCTTTAAGAGTGTGCTCCTAATCTCAGCTCGTTACCTGTATAAAAGACACCTGGGAGCCAGAAATCTTTCTGATTGAGAGGGGGTCAAATACTTATTCCCCTCATTAAAATGCAAATCAATTTATAACGTTTTTGACATTCGTTTTTCTGGATTTTTTTGTTGTTATTCTGTCTCTCACTGTTCAAATAAACCTACCATTAAAATTATAGACTGATCATTTCTTTGTCAGTGGGCAAACGTAGAAAATCAGCAGGGGATCAAATACTTTTTTCCCTCACTGTATGAGCAGTATTACCTGCCTGTGGTCGGCAAACCATCTCTGTATTCACGGCCAAGCCAGAGATTGCTTATTAATAGTGCTTTGTGTTCTATTTAGGATTTAGCAGCGCTGTTATGAAAATAAAATAATAACACTGACCGGTTTAAATCATAGACACTGAATGAGCTGACTTGTTTTGTGTGGATTTTTTAGACCAGAGATTTTGTATTAGACAGACCCAGGACTCAAATTGATTTATTTGTCTAAATTGCAGAATCCAAACACCATAGGCTGTATGAGTGTCATTTCCAAGTGTAATTTATTTTAAATAATTGTTTTGTATTACTATATTATATTCATGAATGTGTTTAGGATATTCCTTCCTCCCATCCTGTTGTGGCTGGTTTGTGCCAGCTGAGTAATTACCAAGCAGCTCAGAATAAAATGGACTGAGAGTAGAGGGAGATTTAATGCTCTATTCAATCTGTATCACTGAAGCGTTACAGGTTGTAAAGAAATGTAAAGGTAATTTTCTAACTGACCCGACATATGCAGTGCTTACCGTGAATGCAGTCTCTGCTAATGCGGGAACATTGCCTTTAAATTTCAATAACGCTGTAACGCTGAACTTCAGTAATACAGATTGAATAGAGTCCTTAGTTTTCCACATTGGAATGCATCTGGAGCAGCACTCCTAGCAGGTATAATGGCCTCTATCTCCCTGAGGAGAGCCATACTGTTTATGCTCAATCATAAAATGTTATCTTTTGCTTTTCAGGCAAATGCCAGATGGGCTGGTTCATTTTTAGCCTATTGGGCATGTCTGACTTGTCACGATCGTCGGGAACAGAGGACCAAGGCGCAGCGTTGAAGGCGAACATACTTTATATTTAATGATTACACGAACAAAACAACAAACGATAACGTGACGTCCTCGGTCTAACACAAACCACACTGGAACAAGATCCCACACCATACTGTGGGAAACAGGCTGACTAAGTATGGTTCCCAA